TGACAACTGGACGGTTGTAAAAAGTTACATTGAAAAAGAAATGGACATCAAACATACGGATGAAGATCCCATTTACTTTGACACCTTTGAAGAAAAGGATTTGAAAAAGGTAATAGACACACAGGAAGGGATTATAAAGTATATGAAGGAAAAGGACTACAAACACCTATATAACATTTGTATTATCATAGACGACTGGGCTGACAACGAAAAGGTGGTCAGAAAGAACAAGGAGTTAATCAAACTCTTCACCAAAGGTAGGCATTGGTATATCTCAACTTTTATCACATCGCAATCTTACACGCAAATATCACCAGTCGTTAGGAAGAATGCCACACAACTGTTCATCTTCAGGCTTCGCAACCAAAAAGATTTGGATGCCATTTTGGAAGAATTGAGCGGGTTGTATGACAAGAAAACTTTAGACACGATTTACCGAGTTGCCACTGATGACAAGTATGTTTTTTTTTATATATTGATTTGATGGAAAGGGATAAGAAGAAGATGTTTTACACAAATCTAAATCAAAGAATTACGGTGGAATGATTGATAATAATATTATTGAATGTTATTATCAATTATTTTGATTTCAATTTTGGATAGATGATTGACTTCTAAAGTTCCTTCGCTTCCTTTAGATGTTGTTTCTTATCCTCTCCTTTGCTTGATTTCCACTGACCATAGACTTGTTGAAACTTTTGATAGTCCGCTGTGTCTATGCTTTTGCTGTTGTTCATTTCCTCAAACTTCTCTCGTATCACTTGTATTCCTACCTTGCTTGGTGATATTGCTTTGCTCATCGTTGGTTTCCTGACTGGTGCTTTTGAAGATGATGCTGTTTCTTCCTGTGCTGAAGTGGCACAGAGGTTTGACTGTAGACCACTTGGGGTGTACGGGCGCTACATAGTATGGGCGCTACGGAGACTGATTGGGCGCTACGGGGACTGTACGGGCGCTACGGAGACTGTACGGGTAGTGCAGTAGTAGTAGTAGGTAGTAGTAGGTAGTAGTAGGTAGTAGTAGGTAGTAGTAGGCGCTGCGGAGACTGTACGGGCGCTACGGAGACTGTACGGGCGCTACGGGGACTGTACGGGCGCTACGGAGACTGTACGGGCGCTACGGAGACTGTACGGGCGCTAGGTGTCTCTGGCGGACATCGCACTTTGTAGTTCTTCCTTCAGTTGTTTTACAAGGTCATTTTTGAATACTTCTGGGTCAAAAGGCGGTTTCGCCCTTGATGGTCTTACCCTCTTGGGTTTTGGCGCTGGTTGTGGTTTCTCTTCAACTGGTTTTTCAATTATATATATTTCTTCTGGTTTCTCCTCTTCTTTCGGTGCTTCCTCCTGTATTGGTTCTGGTATTGCTTCTTCCTTTGGTTCTTCATTATCAACCTCTTTTACGACTACCTCTGTCATATATTAATATTATAGATAATTTTTTATACTTTCAAAATTTCGTGTCTCAAATACGGTTTCTTGAGACCCTCCAGTTTGAAGGTTCTGTTTCCGACATCGTCGTATTCTATCTTGATGATTTTGTAGGATTGTTTGCTCCATTTTGAGTTATACTCCTTCCTCTCCGTGTAGTTGTCTTTTTTCTTCTCAAAGACCTTGACCATATCATTCACTTTCACCTCTGGGTATTTGCGATTGTTCTTTTCCCTCCTTGTCAAATTGACCCTGACATCCATATGGTTTTTGTCGTCGTGGGCGTCCTTGGGTTTCATTTTTGTAGATGAATGGACGGTGTCGTTGTATTTATCCAACGCTTTGGACAACATAACAGTCCAACTGCCACGATTAAACCTGACCCTATCGTGTATCATATTCTTCATTGTTCTGATGAAACGCTCCACTACATTAGCGTGTGTTAGGGTTACGACGTGAGTGATGCCTTCTTTATCAAAAAAGTCTTTAACTCCAGCTTGGAAGGCACGGTCATTATCGCTATAAACTGACATTGGAAACCCCATTTGTTAAAACTCTCTTTCATCGCCGACAATGTGATTGGTCCAGATTTCTCTTTCATAGGGACGACATTAGCCAACTTGCTGAAGATGTCAATGACTACCAACCCATATCTCGGCTCACCATTCTTGATTGGAACTTCAACCTCTGGTTCTTTGGTAAGGGGTATATATTAGTAATGATACTAAAGTTGCGAAGGCGCGGTGTAGGAGTTTGAACCTCTGTATTTCCTAATCTGTTTGTTGGGTTGTTTCCTCATAAAGGTTTCCACATTCACCCTGTTGATACGGGGCTTGTTCCTTGCTTTTTTGAGGGGAGATGACGAGCCGAAGCCCGTAGTAGTAGGTAGTAGTAGGTAGTAGTAGGTAGTAGTAGGTAGTAGTAGGCGCTGCGGAGACTGTACGGGCGCTACGGAGACTGTACGGGCGCTACGGGGACTGTACGGGCGCTACGGAGACTGTACGGGCGCTACGGAGACTGTACGGGCGCTACGGGGACTGTACGGGTAGTAGTAGGTAGTAGTAGTAGGCGCTGCGGAGACTGTACGGGCGCTACAGAGACTGTACGGGCGCTACGGGGACTGTACGGGCGCTACGGAGACTGTATGGGCGCTACGGAGACTGTACGGGCGCTACGGGGACTGTACGGGCGCTACGGAGACTGTACGGGCGCTACGGAACTGTACGGGCGCTACGGAGACTGTACGGGCGCTACGCAGACTGTACCGGCGCTACGGGGACTGTACGGGTGCTACGGGGACTGTACGGGCGCTACGGAGACTGCACGGACGCTACGGAGACTGTACGGGCACTACGAAGTCACAGACTCTCTCAGATTCTCACAGACTCTCGCAGACTCTCTCACAGACTCGCTCAGAGATTTTCTCACAGACTCTTTCAGACTCTCTGAGATTCTCTCACAGACTCTCGCTCAGACTCTCTCTCAGACTCTCTCTCAGACGCTCTCAAAGACACTCCCACAGACTCTCTCACAGACTCTCTCGGACTGTCTCTCAGACTCTCACTCAGACTCTCTCAGACTCTCTCTATGTCTGTTAGTCTGTCTATATTCCGCCGGTCTCATGACGGAATTTGGCCGGTCTCATGACGAAAATTCGGTCTCGTGACGGAATTTGGGCGTATTTCTGTCTTTTTCTATGTCTGTTAGTCTGTCTATATTCCGCCGGTCTCATGACGGAATTTGGCCGGTCTCGCAGACTCTCTCAAGCTCTCTCAGGCTCTCTCAGACTCTCTTTCTCTCTCTCTCTCTCTGTCTCTCTCTCTCTCTCTCTTTCTCTCTCTCTTTCACAGACTCTCTCAGACTCTCGCAGACTCTCTCAGACTCTCTCTGAGAATCTCTCTGAGAATCTCTCTGAGACTCTATCTGAGAATCTCTCTGAGACTCTATCTGAGACTCTCTCTGAGACTCTCTCTCAGACTCTCTCTGAGACTCTCTTTGAGACTCTCTCAGACTGTCTCTCTCTCTCTCTCACAGACTCTCTCAGACTCTCTCAGAGTCTCTATCAGACTCTCTCTCAGACTCTCTCTCTCCGACTCCTAGACTCTCTCCCAGACTCTCGCTCAGGCTCTCTTTCAGACTCTCTCTCAAACTCTCTCTCAGACTCTCTCTCAGACTCTCTCTCTCAGACTCTCTCTCAGACTCTCTCTCAGACTCTCTCTCAGACTCTCTCAGACTCTCTCAGACTCGCTCACAGACTCTTTCAGACTCTCTCTCAGGCTCTCTCAGACTCTCTCAGACTCTCTCTCTGTGTTAAGGGATTTCAGGGTTAAAGTTTGGAGGGTTAAAAGATTTTAGGGTTGAGGCTAAGGGATTTTAGCGTTAAAGGATTTTAGGATTGAAGGATTTTAGAGTTACAGGGTTCTTGTGTTAAAGGATTTTAGGGTTAAAGGGTTCTGGCGTTAAAAGATTTTACGGTTAAACGATTTTAGGGTTAAAAGTTTTTAGGGTTAAAGGATTTTAGGGTTAAAGGATTTTAGGGTTAAGGGATTTTAGGGTCAAGGGGTTTGTAGGGTTAAAGGATTTTAAGGTTAATGTGTTTTAGGGTTAAAGGATTTTAGGGTTAAGGTGTTCCGGCGTTTAAAGATTTTGGGGTTGGATGATTTTAGGGTTAAAGGATTTTAAGGTTAAAGGGTTTTAGGGTTAAAGGGTTTTAGGGTTAAAGGATTTTGGGGTTAAGGGATTTTAGGGTTAAAGTTTGTAGGGTTAAGGGATTTTAGGTTTACGGGGTTTTAGGGTTAATGTTTTTTAGGGTTAAGTGATCTGACGGACAGTAAACGCTGACAAGGGGATAGCTCCCATCCCACGCATTTTCATCTAAGAATCTGCTTCCTGCTCATGTTCCAAGAGGTTCCCAAAAGGCTCCCAGAAACTTCGCAGAAGGCGCCCAGAAAGTCTCGAGAAAGCACCCAGAAAAGTTCCCAGAGGGCTCCCAGAAGGCTTCCAGAACGCTCCCAGAAGGCTCCCAGGAGAAAAAGGTTTTCCCAGTGCTGCTTCAAAGCAAAAACAGAACCACAGGAGGAGAAAAAGGTTTCCCAGTGCTGCTTTTTGCCAAAAACAAAACCTTGGGAGGAGACCAACCTTTGATTCATTAAAAACAAAAAACAACCTGTGTTGGCGCACACTTGGCGCAAGCCACCTAAAATTAGGGATTAGGATTAGGGATTAGGGATTAGGATTAGGGATTAGGATTAGGGATTAGGATTGGGGATTAGGGATTAGGATTAGGATTAGGGATTAGGATTAGGGATTAGGATTAGGGATTAGGATTAGGGATTAGGATTAGGGATTAGGATTAGGATTAGGGATTAGGATTAGGGATTAGGATTAGGGATTAGGGATTAGGATTAGGGATTAGGGATTAGGGATTAGGGATTAGATTAGGATTAGATTAGGATTAGATTAGGATTAGATTAGATTAGATTAGGATTAGATTAGATTAGGATTAGATTAGACTAGGATTAGATTAGATTAGGATTAGATTAGATTAGGATTAGATTAGATTAGATTAGATTAGTTAAACAAAAAATAAAACAAATACAAAACACACACACACACAAAAAACATTTTTCAAATCTATTTTGCACATAACTCTGATTTCCCAGACTTCCAAACCACCAACCCAAACCGCCATATAAGTATAACCTGATAGCAACTGTCAAGCAGGATCCGAAAGCCCGTGATGGAAGGCTGCCTAGGGTGTTGTTGGGCAAAACTCCGCCATCCCGGCGTGCTGTGCAGAACAACCACAGGTCTGCCATAAGCCTTCACAGTGGCATTCGAACGGCTCCCCAAAAGTGCCCCACTCCTCCACAATAGTCAACAAGGACGAGCGAGTGCCAAATACCATCAGGATCAGGGCCAGAATGAATTCTATGCCTATAACAATCCACTCAACAATCTTGATGAATTTGGAGCAACGGCCGCCTTTCCTTCCTTCTGAATCCCAGTCAGGGTGGTCCCAGGACATCCGCATGTAGCAGATCAAAGGGATCAACCAGCAAGTTATCGGCGTCACGCTTGCTCCCAAGAGATCCACTGCTGCTCCAAAGAAGGGCACAATGTTGGCCAAAATCCAGGTAAGCACCAGCATAGATGTGACAATGCATACCCAGCCGATCCAAGATCTTGGACGATTATCACTTGCATGTGCATATGTGCGGTCAACTGCTCTGTGCACCGATTTGCACAATAGCACTCCTTTGATCAGATACGAAATCAGCATGTGAGTCAGCATGCATCCTGCTGCCACTTGGAAAGCACCGCCAAACGGAAGATTCTCATTCATCATCCCAGCAACCTTGTTGCCCATGTACAGGTAGCCCCCAATGCCAGCCACTGCAAACATGACAAGCTGGAAAGGAGCAGAAATCTTGGCGTAAGCTGTAGGCATCTGCATTGGCTCCTTCATCTCTGCTATAATTTCAACAAGGATGAGCTGAGATGTCATTCCAAAGGTAAATGCCGAAGAGCCACTGAAGATTTGTCGCAACGACAAATCGCTAAACATCTCCACTTTGCTGCCTGGCACCTTAATCTCCTCCGTGCCGATGATGCTATAGAAGCCCAAGGGGATCAGAATTGTCCCCATCAGAGTCGCAACATTCATCCAAACCAAGGATTGCCAAGTGCCCATGCGACGGGCAGTGGCGGCGAATGGCAGAAGCAGCAGGGCAGCATAAATCATCCAAGTCGGAAGACAAACGTGATTGTGATAGAACAACATACCCATGCCCTTTCCTGCACTTAGCAGGTAGAGGCCCATCACGCCCAAAAGAAACGATTTCTGAGAGAAACCTGTTAAAGAGATGATCGCGCGCCGTTGCCATGTAGGTGCTTTTGCAAAAGCACCCCTCACATATGCTGTGTAGGTGGTGGTGCCAATGCAACTGGGGCAAAACATCCGAACTCTCCACATCACGATGGATACATGCACATTTGCAGCCAGAAGTAAGACAAGCGCAATGATACCCGGATAGAGGCCGAAGTTCGCCATGGCCACCGGCATTGCCAGAATTCCTGCACCGACCACATCTGCCACAATGATTCCTGCAGTCAGAAGTACGCCGTTGTGGCCTAACAGTTCCTTCAAATCGCTATTCGTTGAATCAATCCAGGTACTTTCATGGTCTGATTCAGTCGTTTCTTCAAAGTCCGACATGGCTCTTCACAGGTGGCCGAGTGGCACAGAAGCGGAATCCCAAGAACAGAATTGCAAACCTTCTAAAGTATGTCTGGGGAGACTCGGGAGATCGGTTCATTGCGTCGTTGCGTCATCTTTTAATACCTTGCTTCCATGACTTCCATGACTTCCATGATTTATTTCTCGATTTCACAAACTGATTCACAATTCACATCAATTCAACGTTCACCGCGCACCTAAGATCTTCTTGAGATGCAGAACCGCCTCATCTTCAGTGATGTCCACCATCCTACGGCAGGGTTTTCAGATGTTTCCAGGTCATCCCAGGCTCGGTCCCAGACTGCGTATCGTCACCCCAGTATCGAAAATATTGGAGCCCGTGAGAAAACCAGATCTTTTTAAAAAAATAAAACCAAGATGCAGCCCACGAACCCGAATGCTCACACTATGTTAATGGCACAGATGTCGAAACACAAGGATATGCAGTCACGCAGAAGACTTTTCTGCAATAGTTGATTTGAACAGTCTTGTACATATATATTTCCCCTGTTACCAGTCTGCAGTGTGGAGTGGAAAGCGTAGTGTGGAGTGTGGAGTGGAAAGTGTAGAGTGTGGAGTGTGGAGTGTAAAGTAAGGAGTGTGATGCGTAAAGTGTGGAGTGGGGAGTGTAGAGTGTGTAACGTGTAGTGTGTGGAGTGTAAAGTGTAGGGTGTGGAGTGTGGACTGTAGTGTGGACTGTAGTGTGGAGTGTGGAGTGTAGAGTGTAAAGTGTACAGTGTGCAGTGTAGAGTGTAAAGTGTGGAGTGTAGAGTGTAGAGTGTAAAGTGTAGAGTGTGGAGTGTAAAGTGTAGAGTGTAAAGCGTGGAGTGCAAAGTGGAAAGTGTGGAGTGGAACGTGTAGAGTGTGGAGTGTAAAGTGTGGAGTGTGGAGTGTAAAGCGTGGAGTGAGGAGTGTAAAATGTAAAGCGTGGAGTGAGGAGTGAAAAATGTAAAGTGTAGAGTGTGAAGTGTAAAGTGTAGAGTGCGGAGTGCGCAGTGGAAAGTGTAGAGTGTGGAGTGGGGAGTGTAAAGTAAGGAGTGTGGAGTGTAAAGTGTGGAGTGGGGAGTGTAGAGTGTGTAAAGTGTGGAGTGTAAAGTGTAGAGTGTGGAGTGAGGAGTGTAAAGTGGGGAGTGTGGAGTGTGGAGTGTAAAGTGCAGAGTGTGGAGGGTGGAGTGGAAAGTGTGGAGTGTGGAGTGTGGAGTGTAAAGTGAGGAGTGTGGAGTGTGGAGTGTAAAGTGTGGAGTGAGGCGTGTGGAGTGTGTAAAGTGTGTAAAGTGTGGAGTGTAGAGCGTAGAGTGTAAAGTGTCGAGTGTAAAGTGTAGAGTGTGGAGTGTGGAGTGTAAAGTGTGGAGTGAGGAGTGAGGAGTGTAAACTGTGGAGTGTAACATGTAAAGTGTAGAGTGTAGAGTAAAAAGTGTAGAGTGTAAACTGTAGAGTTTGGAGTGTGGAGTGTAAAGTGTGGAGTGAGGAGGTAAAGTGCAAAGTGTAAAGTGTGGAGTGAGGAGTCTAAAGTGTAAATTGTGGAGTGTGGAGTATAAAGTGTAGAGTGTGGAGTGCGGAGTGGAACGTGTAGAGTGTGGAGTGTGGAGTTTAAAGTGAGGAGTGTGGAGTGTAAAGTGTGGAGTGAGGACTGTGGAGTGTGTAAAGTGTAAAGTGTAGAGTGTGGTGGAGTGTGGACTGTAGAGTGTGGAGTGTAGAGTGTGGAGTGTAAAGTGTAGAGTGTAAAGCGTGGAGTGCAAAGTGGAAAGTGCGGAGTGGAGTGTAGAGTGTGGTGGAGTGTAGACTGTGGAGTCTGGAGTGTAGTGTGTGGAGTGTAAAGTGTCGAGTGAGGAGTGCAAAGTGCAAAGTGCAAAGTGTAAAGTGTGGAGTGTAAAGTGCGGAGTGTGGAGTTAGGAGTCTAAAGTGTAAATTGTGGAGTGGGGAGTGTAAAGTGTAGAGTGCGGAGTGTGGAGTGTAAAGTGTAGATTGTGGAGTGTGGAGTGTAGATTGTGGAGTGTGGAGTGTAAAGTGTGGAGTGTGGAGTGTAGAGAGGGGGGTGTAAAGTGTAGAGTGTGAAGTGTAAAGTGTAGAGTGTGGAGCTTCCCCCATAGACACGGCGAGGCCACAGGAAAACCGGAGCCTCGAGACGAGACACGTGGGCGCAGAAAAAACGAGCATTTCGTGCGAGACTGCTTCGAATTTTGACATTTTCGACACGTCATTAAACAATTTGGAATGTCACAAAGTGCCATGCCCCCCACGCAAAACGATAGACAACCTGCTTGAAAACCTTTGAGAAGGAGAGATTTTGTCGCTTCCCCCATAGACACGGCGAAGCCACCAGAAAACCAGAGACTCGAAACGAGACAGGTGGGAGCACCAAAACGAGCAACTTCCGCCAATTTTCACAGGTGGAAACATGCGAAAAGAAGATATTTTGTACCTCCCCCCATAGACACGGCGAGGCCACAGGAAAACCAGAGACTCGAGACGAGACACGTGAGCGCAGAAAAACGAGCATTTCGTGTGAGACTTCCTCCCGTTTTCACAGTTGGAAACCTTCGAAAAGGAGAGGTTTTGCAGCTTCCCCCATAGACACGGCGAGGCCACAGGAAAAACCAGAGACTCGAGACGAGACACGTGGGAGCAGCAAAACGAGCATTTCGTGCGAGACTTCCTTCAATTTTGACACTTTGTAGCGTCAAAATCGACGTTTTCCTACGAGTTTTCTTGGGAACCTCTAAATTTGCTACTTCAAAATCGATGTTTCGTGCGAGGCTTCCGTCAATTTTCAACACATCTCACAAACTGCCACGCCTGCCACGGAATCTGCACCTTGTCGCAACTTGACGCAGCCCTGCCAATGCGATTCGCAAAAACCCACAACACGACACGTCTAAAGTCTAAAGTGATGCGCCTGCCACGCAAAATGACGATGGGCACGTCCAAAGTGCTGCGACTGCCACGAAAACTGCAACGCATCTTCTGAAAATGTCGCAAAAGTATTGCGCCTGCCACACAGAACGACTTTCGACACGTTACAAAACACGTCTGCATGTCACGAAGTGCCACGCCTGCCACGCGAAACGAAGCAACGAGAAGTTTGAAACCTCCGAAAATGACCACCTCTGCAGAACTTACCATAGGCACGGCCATATGGTCCTCACGCGGACGGTTGCGAACGGTTGCGAACGGTTGCGAACGGTTGCGGACGGTTGCGGATGGTTGCGGACGTACACGCAACGTCGAGCGAACACACCCTCAACCCCCAGATCCCCAGAGTGAAACGGGAACCCTTGCTACGCATTCGGGAATAAACAACATCAAAAATATGTCTTATATCTTATATAAAGAAATATGCGAGTCATCAATCTCAATCTGCTGCGGGCCAAACAAAGAGCAAGAGCTTTAGCGGTAGTGTCCGATACTTCTTTTCGGATGTTTTTTTTTCCCGAATGCGTAGCAAGGGTTCCCATTTCACTCTGGGGGTCTGGGGATTGAGGGTGTGTTCGATCGACGTTGCGTTTCTGTTCGTTTCCGTTCGCAACCGTCCGCAACCGTCCGCAACCGTCCGCAACCGCGCGATTGCCATATGGCCGTGCCTATGGTAAGTTCTGCAGAGCGGGTCATTTTTGGCGGTTTCAAACGTTTCGTTGCTTCGTTTTGCGTGGCAGGCGTGGCACTTTGTGACATTCAGACGTGTTTTGTAACGTGTCGAAAGTCGTTCTGTGTGGCAGGCGCAATACTTTTGCGACGTTTTCAGAAGATGCGTTGCAGTTTTCGTGGCAGTCGCAGCACTTTGGACGTGCCCATCGTCATTTTGCGTGGCAGGCGCGGCACTTTAGACGTGTCGTGTTGCGTGTTTTTGCGAATCGCATTGGCAGGGCTGCGTCAAGTTGCGACAAGGTGCAGATTCCGTGGCAGGTGTGGCAGTTTGTGAGATGTGTTGAAAATTGACGGAAGCCTCGCACGAAACATCGATTTTGAAGTAGCAAATTTAGAGGTTCCCAAGAAAACTCGTAGGAAAACGTCGATTTTGACGCTACAAAGTGTCAAAATTGAAGGAAGTCTCGCACGAAATGCTCGTTTTGCTGCTCCCACGTGTCTCGTCTCGAGTCTCTGGTTTTTCCTGTGGCCTCGCCGTGTCTATGGGGGAAGCTGCAAAACCTCTCCTTTTCGAAGGTTTCCAACTGTGAAAACGGGAGGAAGTCTCACACGAAATGCTCGTTTTTCTGCGCTCACGTGTCTCGTCTCGAGTCTCTGGTTTTCCTGTGGCCTCGCCGTGTCTATGGGGGGAGGTACAAAATATCTTCTTTTCGCATGTTTCCACCTGTGAAAATTGGCGGAAGTTGCTCGTTTTGGTGCTCCCACCTGTCTCGTTTCGAGTCTCTGGTTTTCTGGTGGCTTCGCCGTGTCTATGGGGGAAGCGACAAAATCTCTCCTTCTCAAAGGTTTTCAAGCAGGTTGTCTATCGTTTTGCGTGGGGGGCATGGCACTTTGTGACATTCCAAATTGTTTAATGACGTGTCGAAAATGTCAAAATTCGAAGCAGTCTCGCACGAAATGCTCGTTTTTTCTGCGCCCACGTGTCTCGTCTCGAGGCTCCGGTTTTCCTGTGGCCTCGCCGTGTCTATGGGGGAAGCTCCACACTCTACACTTTACACTTCACACTCTACACTTTACACCCCCCTCTCTACACTCCACACTCCACACTTTACACTCCACACTCCACAATCTACACTCCACACTCCACAATCTACACTTTACACTCCACACTCCGCACTCTACACTTTACACTCCCCACTCCACAATTTACACTTTAGACTCCTAACTCCACACTCCGCACTTTACACTCCACACTTTACACTTTGCACTTTGCACTTTGCACTCCTCACTCGACACTTTACACTCCACACTCCACCCTTTACGCTCCACACTCCACACTTTACACTCTACGCTTTACACATCTTTACACTCTACACTCCACACTTTACATTTTACACTCCACACTTTACGCTTTACACTTTACACTCCTCACTCCACACTTTACACTCCACACTCCACACTCTACACTTTACGCTCTACACTTTACACTCTACACTCCACACTCTACACTTTACACACTCCACACTCGTCACTCCACACTTTACACTCCACACTTTACACTCCACACTCATCCCTCCACACTCCACACTCTATACTTTCCACTCAACACTCCACACTTTACACTCCACACTCCACACTTTACACTCTACACTTCACACTCTACACTCTACACTTCACACTCTACACTCCACACTCTACACTCTAGACTTTACACTCTACACTCTACACTCCACAGTTTACATTTTACACTCCACACTTCACACTCCACACTTTACACTTTACACTCCTTACTCCACACTCCACACTCTACACTTTACACTCTACACTTTCCACTCCACACTCTACACTTTACACTCCACACTTCACACTCTACACTTTACACTCCACACTCCACACTCTACACTTTACACTCTACACTTTACACTCCACACTCTACACTCTACACTCCACACTTTACATTTTACACTCCAGACTCCCAACTCCACACTTTACACTCCACACTCCACACACTACACACTACACTCCACACTTCACACTCTACTCTTTACACTCAACACTCCACACTCTACACTTTACACTCTACACTTTACACTCTACACTCTAAACTCCACACTCCACACTCCACACTCCACACTCTACACTTTACACTCCTCACTCCACACTCCACACTCTACACTCCACACTCCACACTCTACACTCCACACTCCGCACTCCGCACTCCACACTCCACACTCTACACTTTACACTCCACACTCCACACTCTACACTTTACACTCTACACTTTACACACTGTACACACTCCACACTTCACACTCCACAATCTACACTCCCCACTCCACACTTTACACTTCACACTCCTTACTTTGCACTCCACACTCCACACTCTACACTTTACACTCCACACTCCGTTTCTACACTTTACACTTCACACGCCACCCTCCACACTTTTCAGTTTACACTCCACACTTTACACTCCTACACTCCACACTCCACACTTTACAGTCTACACTCAGCATTCTACACTTCACAGTTTCCACTCCACGCTCCACGCTCCACACTCCACACTTTACACTCTGCACTCCACACTCTACACTTTTACACTTTACACTTTAAATGTACAAGACTGTGTAAATAGACTGTTTCAGAAAAGTGTTTTGCATGACTGCATTTCCATGTGTTTCGACATCATCACCAGTAACATACGTGTGAGCATTCGGGTTCGTGGGCTGCATCTTGTTTAGATGACTGCGCACCGGCATGAAACTTGTGCAGCCCGATAGTTAAGAATTCAGTTGCCAAACCAGTTGAAAGCACTTCTCCTCGGCAACCCTGGAACTGAAATCCTTTGCAGGGAGCAGCTAGTTTGATGGCACAGGAGGAAATTAGCACCAGGAATTGCCTACAACTAATAGGTAAGTCTTGTTTGATCAAACATCAATGACAGTAACAAGTCAGGAAGATCAATCAAAAATAATCAAAATGTCAATTTCTTTGCAAAGCAATTCAGCATAAGTAATTCAGCATATTCCAGCTAAACAACTACCATCAACTACATATAGGTGTCCGTTGCTGCCCTTGCCTTCGGTTTGCAGAGTCCTGCGAGGCAGGGGGCGACGATCTACTGAGTCCTGCGCCAGGGAAAAGAGCTTCGATCACCTTTAGAATTCCAAAAATATGATGATCATGTCAAGTCTGTCAAGTTCATGTTTTCTTTCGGTGTCTGGTCATTTCTAGTAGAATAGTGAAGATCCAACAACGTTTCACTAGGCGTCTGGGCTCGTTTGAGGAAGTTGGTCACAGGATTTGTGCCCAAGAGATGCTGCATTCTTCTTGAATCTAAGATCCGCAGAAAGCTTTCAAATCTTGGCATCTCTCCAGAGTAGGTTTTCGATATTCCTAGGCATGGCCTGACCCTGCACACCTGTGGAGTTAGTAAGATGTCCAATGGTACGACCGAGGCTCTCAAACACTTTGAGTTGAATCTGGCATGGCGCGGCTGTTGCTCCTGAAAACCGGCCGCTTATCGAGAGGCCCGCATCACTTACCTAGCTAAGCGACACTCCTCCCACTTGGGCATCTAGTCGAATCTAGTCTTGAAGTCTAGGCGGATGGCTGATGATCTGGTTGGAGTATGGACTGAAGTGTTGGATAGGTTGGAGGTTGGGTGATGGAAGTTGGTTTCTGTATGAAGCAGCTGTCAGCGTAAGGGAATGGGAAAAGGGGTAGCGCGGTGTGGTTCTGCTTTGGCTGGATACGGGCCCCAAGCCCTTCAGCTGTACTCATATGATATCTCCCCAACTTTGAGCCAAGGCCAGCAATGACATCAGGACTCGCCTGGGTTGGAACAAAAACTGTGGAAGGCGGGCACTGATTCAGGGTTGCACATCCACTAAAAGCTGTTGCGCCTCTAGAACCATCTAGAACCTATGTCGCTTGAGATCCGAGTTCCATTCCTGTTCCCGAGAAACAGTGCACCCCACTCAGATAGCTTCCACTAGAGAGGTAGGACTTGCTGCATCACACAGAAGTTCAAGCACGCGATGCTCAGTCGCTTTTGCTCGCGTCGTCTCTTGCGTGAGAGGTTTTCAGCCGTGATGGGCACACAAGAGTGTTTCAGTGCTGCCATCCGATGAGGTGGAAGGAGAGCGAGCTCGGGCCTGCGAGTATGCACCATTGAGCCGTGATAGGACTCAATTCACTTTGCACCAATGAGATCAATGACATGAGAAAATGCAATGAGCTTATGGATCAGCTGCGGTCACCTACCGATCCGCGCATTGTGGAGTCTCTCGCCTGTGTCGGACTAAAACCACGTCCAAAGTCTTCCAGGATAGCTCTGGCTGCCTCCGGCATCTTGGACCATGGGTGTCGATGCTAGAGGACTGTCCCCTTTTGACAAAGTGGGACAAGATTTGACAAGATTTGACAAGATGTGGCATGTGACAAGTATTGAAAAACCATCTTATTCAAACAATATCAAGCACATCCTATCTGCATTGACCAGCATGGACCGACTTGAGTGTAGCAGCGTAGCTTTGACATAGCGACCGCACCCACTGGCAACAGCGGCACGGCACCCTGCCTCTAAAAGCAGCTCCTGACGGCGCTGTCTTTGTCGCCGTGCTTCCGCCAAATTCTCTTGGACGGCACGGACCTGCACATCTCAAATCGACTTCCTGAACGTAATGAAAGCTCCACAAAAGTTCAACAAGTGCTCCCAATCAGGTTCTATTGCAACATTATTGCAATATTATGCCATACATGAATCTCTCAAACTAAAGTAAAAGAAAAAATGCACTGGATATGGGCAATTTGCCGAAAAGAAACACCATAAAAAAATGGTAGAAGGGGGAAACTGGGGAGTGAGGGTTCAAGGTTCAGGTGGGAGGCTGTTATGTTTTTGTTCAATGTTGTAAATCTAAATGTTTGACTGTTTCTTTTTGATTATCTTGCTAAATGTTTCGTTGAGGTTGTTGTGATAATGTTTGGTTTGGATGAGGGTAGGTTTTGTTGAGGGTGTTTTGCCCGTTATGTTTTTATGTTGATGTTCAATGTGTGTTCCTTGGTTTTGATGATTTTTGTTTGGGTTTCTGGGAGTGGTTTGAGGGGGCAACTTTCACTGTCAATGTTTGGTTTTGGATGAGGGGGATAATTGTTGAGGTTGTTAGGGTTTTATGTTTGGATTGTCAGTCGTCAGGAGTTTGAAAAGAAGGGAAGACGTCATCAAGATAATCTATGGTTTCTTGGTGTTTTATCCTGTTCTTTTCTTTATCACTTAAGACGGGTTGCTCTATTTGTTTAGTGTTAGTGTTGTTCAGATTGTTCTTATGACGTTGGGTTCTTTCGTGTCTTAACATTTTATTTCTTGAAATGTCAATCTTACAAATTGGACAGTCAACCTTTTCTTTCTGTTTCTCAAGTTTTTGTCCTTTGTATTGTTCATAATGTTCCTTTGCCTTTTGTCTCAATTCTTCTCTGTGGTTTTCTCTATAGCGTTGTTTGTATTCAGAACATTTTTGACATAGTGCCTTTCCATCATCAAAGTTCTCCAGTGGTTTGACTGTTCTACATTTTGAACATTTCTTACCTTTCTCTTCACTCATTGAAGTATTATGGGGCTATATCTTTGAATAGGTTTCTGGGTCTTCAAGATTACTTCATAATATATTGTGTTAAGATATTATGAATTAATCATTTATGCTTTCCACTTTCCTATTCCATCCCACCAGTGTTCAATCACTCTCATTTGTGTTAAGCAAGGTTTTTCTGTATCATTCATTTCATCCATTGCTATTGATAAAAGAGTTAGGTTAATAATCACAGCGTTGAATTCTCCATCACGGTTGAGTTCTTTACCACTTACCACAATCAATGATGACTTTTTTATCGGTGAGGTGTTCATACATCTTTTTCATAATGTCAAATCTTACAAACGAGTATATTATCATACCATTAACTCCTTCTGCTTCTTTCATCCTATCAATTACTTTCTTCCAAAATGTTTCTCCTTCCTCATCATCTGGTGACGGCATAGGATGATACTTTACAAAGTCTCTAATCTCTTCATCTTCTTTTTCTATTTGTTTTCTTTCCCAGTCTTCATCCTCACTATCACTACCAACTTCAACATACAACCCTAAATTTTCTGAAATTGAACTCAAGTCCTCAATTTTTGCTCTACTCATTTTCTCTTACTATATATAGTTACTTTTTCTTTAAGTATTTACCACTTTTTGTAGGTGCTCTTCTATTTCTGTCAGATTACAATAGTTTTCATAACCATTTAAAAGTTGTTTCATATATTCACGCAAGAAGACTTCCCAAAGGTCTTTTATCTTGTATTCCCTATTTCTAAACATATAATGTCTTTCACCATCAGGAAACCACCAAACTCGTAAATGTCTAAACAGTTTCATTCCTTCAAGGTCGTGGAAGTTCTCCATAATGTGATGTGTGTATTTCCATTCCTTCTTTACAAATGATTTGACAGCAGACAGAAACAGTTTATTCTTTTTGAATTGCTCTTTGAGACTTTTATTGTCCAGCACGGTGTCTATCTCCTTCCTGAATGTTCTTAAATTCACCCGACAGGTGTTAGACAAATAGATTGGTGTTGGCATTTCAGTTTTGAAGAAAAGTATTTGTTTTTCTGATGTTGTTAGATGTTTGCCTTTGTGTTCTTTTTGAAATTCATTCTCCTTTAGGTTCAGGTTTTTACATTTGAAACAATGAAGGTTGTAATTACATATCTCATCACAAATTCCAGCAGGAAAAATGTTGTTCAATAAAACCTTTATGTTAGTCATTTCGTTTTTACAACATCCACAGTTTTTATAAGTAAATAGCATCCTCTTACTATATATAGGTAATTTTTCTTTAAGTAGTTTTTGGGGTCTCTTTCAGTTTTTGGGTTTTCTGTTGTCCCGTATCCACTGTAATCGCTTCATTCGTTGTGTTTCACTACTATCACTTTCATATTCTTCATTTTCAGGTTCTTCTTGCTTATCTTCATTTCTTACTTTTTCTATCATCCGTCTTATTTTGTCTATACCGTGTTCTCTGTCAAACCCTTCCATTACATTTCTCACTTTTTCCAAACCGATATGTCATTCAATCTCTTCGTCTGTCATTTGTCGGAATTGTTCTTTATATTCTTCGTCATACTCGTCTTCCTCTTCATCCTCATAGTTCATAAACATTTCCATTCGTTGCTTTTCCGTTTCCAGAAGTTTGTTTTCCATCTGTTGGAATTTCATTTGTTTCTTGCCACACTTTCCACAAACATTTACAAAGGTTTTAAGCAAATGACCCCAGTTAGGTTTTTTGTAGTCGGCACTGTTTAGATTGATACACTCACTCATTATACGACATCCACAGTCAAATTTAGTCATCTTGTTTAGTCTTACTATATATATAGGTATTTTTTCTTTAAGTATATTTTTTCAGTGTTGATAATTTTAAATCTAATACTATAATATATGGCAAGGAGACTATCAAGAGATGACATCATAAGCAATGTCTATTACAATCTTGAAACGGGCTTCGGCTCAATCAATGAGACCCTCAAAAAAGCGAAGGAACAAGACCCGACCATCAACAGGGTGAATGTGGAAACCTTTATGAGGAAACAACCCAACAAACAGATTAGGAAATACAGAGGTTCAAACTCCTACACCGCGCCGTTCGCAAGGTTTGAGTATCAGATTGACATAATGGATATGAAACCCCTTACCAAAGAACCAGAGGTTGAAGTTCCAATCAAGAATGGTGAGCCGAGATATGGGTTGGTAGTCATTGACATCTTCAGCAAGTTGGCTAATGTCGTCCCTATGAAAGAGAAATCTGGACCAATCACATTGTCGGCGATGAAAGAGAGTTTTAACAAATGGGGTTTCCAATGTCAGTTTATAGCGATAATGACCGTGCCTTCCAAGCTGGAGTTAAAGACTTTTTTGATAAAGAAGGCATCACTCACGTCGTAACCCTAACACACGCTAATGTAGTGGAGCGTTTCATCAGAACAATGAAGAATATGATACACGATAGGGTCAGGTTTAATCGTGGCAGTTGGACTGTTATGTTGTCCAAAGCGTTGGATAAATACAACGACACCGTCCATTCATCTACAAAAATGAAACCCAAGGACGCCCACGACGACAAAAACCATATGGATGTCAGGGTCAATTTGACAAGGAGGGAAAAGAACAATCGCAAATACCCAGAGGTGAAAGTGAATGATATGGTCAAGGTCTTTGAGAAGAAAAAAGACAACTACACGGAGAGGAAGGAGTATAACTCAAAATGGAGCAAACAATCCTACAAAATCATCAAGATAGAATACGACGATGTCGGAAACAGAACCTTCAAACTGGAGGGTCTCAAGAAACCGTATTTGAGACACGAAATTTTGAAAGTATAAAAAATTATCTATAATATTAATATATGACAGAGGTAGTCGTAAAAGAGGTTGATAATGAAGAACCAAAGGAAGAAGCAATACCAGAACCAATACAGGAGGAAGCACCGAAAGAAGAGGAGAAACCAGAAGAAATATATATAATTGAAAAACCAGTTGAAGAGAAACCACAACCAGCGCCAAAACCCAAGAGGGTAAGACCATCAAGGGCGAAACCGCCTTTTGACCCAGAAGTATTCAAAAATGACCTTGTAAAACAACTGAAGGAAGAACTACAAAGTGCGATGTCCGCCAGAGACACCTACAACAAAGCCAAGGAGGAGAAGAACAAAGCGACGAGAGAGAAATTCAAATCTTTAGCATCAAAAATTTTGTAAAGTATATTATATATAAAAATGAACATCAAGGAACAGAAAACGGAACTCAACAAAAAAGACATCTACGACAATGTCCGCAAGGACATCAACAGGAAACAAACCGTCCATTCAAACAAAAGTGCCACTTACAGGAGCGGAACGCCCGAAATGCCAGACAGAAGAAAAAAAGTGTATAGCAGTTATGACCACTACTATCACAACGACAGCAACACGGCAAGGATGCCAACTCACAACCATCATCTTTATCTTAAGCGTCTTCTGGAATATCACAACACCGAGCACGACTACAAGGTCTTACAGGTGAAGCAGAGGATGAAGGAAGAGAATGAGATGCTACAGAACGAGATGACAAGGTTGAGGGAGGTGAGGAAAAATCACAGATTGGAAGATTACGGGGCGAACGTCCAGAATATGAAACAGAGAATTGATGAATATAAACAGTGGTTGAGAGGCGATACACAAGATTAATATAAAAATCTAAAGTATTAATATATAGCAATGACAGCAGAAGTAATCAACGCAAAACAGGGATTGACACGAATACCCACTTACGCAGAACTCATCAAGGAAATAGACAGGGAAAAATTCAAAACAAATGACATCAGAAAAATCTTTGATAGGAACGCTTGGTATTTTCACGACAGTCCGCAGGGTCAAGCACTGAACACAAACAACATCCACCCAGCAGACTTACAACAAATAAAACTTTAAAAAGATGGCAGAGGAAGCGACCGCAAGACGGGAAGAAGAAACACCCAATCTTAACTTTGAAGATATGACTGACTTGAGGGATGATGCCATCAGCGACTTTGAGATGTCCTTTGACAGAGAGGCGGAGTTGAGGGAAGAGAACGAAAGGAG